TTATTTTGCAAGCACAGTTGAGCTTGTTCTGAACTGACAGAAAGCCATGTGATCCAGCTCCAACACTGGGATAGTGAGTCCTGCTGACAGTCAAAATGATGTAGCCCAGGTTCATCCACTTCAAAGCTGTGTTCACTGTGGCTGCATCTCTACTAGAGCATTGCCAGGGCAAGCCCAGAGCAGAGGAGGGGATGTGTACCCAGCTGCTCTGTAAGACCAGTAGCACAGCAGTGCACAGTAGCACAGTTTTGGACCATGACAATTCATCTCCCAGACAATTGCCTTGCATGATCCAAAGGTAAGCCTGGGCCCGGAGCCATTCTTTGGAAGCAGCCTCAGTGCACCATCCTTCTTCTTTGGTGTAAGATGTTCTGTATGAGGGAACACAAGACTCAAGGACCGGACTGAAGGCCAAAGAGTGATCCCTGATGGAGATGAATTCGACTGGGATCTGTTGAGAAGGAAGCTGCATGCACATCTCCAAAGTGCTGGGTCACCATGTTGGAATGCCTCAGGCTGTCCCACAGGTGAGCACACCTGCGTGATTCAGGCAGCTCAGCTCTCTGAGGAAATGTGGAGTGCTCTTTTCAAATAATTACCTGGGTTATATGGGATTATGTGCTGTGTTGCTGTGATGTCCCTGGCTGGCACGTAGCTTGGATGCAGTGAGTTGCTACCACATAGGATGCCCTTGATCCTGAGATAGGTCTTAGAAACCACAGGAGTGGAAACCTGAATGAGCTAAATAGTTGTATTTTCATCCATGAAATTCAAGCAGAAACTTTTCTTCAGGCTTGGTTGCGCAAAACAGACCACATCTCCAGAAGCCACACACTGTAGGGACTTCCAGCAGCATTTAAACCCCATTTTGTGTTCATCATTGTGGAATTAGTCGATTAATCATTTAAGATTCCTGGTATTATATTAATTTATTAGTTTATGTTAGAAAAGCAGCAACATTAAACCTAGGAAAATGCTGAGCCCCTTGAGAAACTGACTCATGAGGTATTTTAGCTTCTATTGTCATGAAAAGATCTATTATACAATATTAAACAATCCTCAGTTGACCTCTTAGACTTGAAGTCTTCCTCAGGGTAGGAACTTTACATACCAAGTCACCTTTCTCTTTACATGTATGAAAAACATCTCTTTGTGCAGTAGCCAAATAGAAATAGCTGCTTGAGTACTATTTTTTTTATTTCTGAACAAGCCTAGCTCTACAGCATCAAAATATTCTTAATCACATATTTCATGTTTTTCTCTGAACATCCTTTGTCAGATTACATGACTTAATACTTCTAAACCAAAGCTATTCCAGAGTAAAATAGGAATTGAAATGTGTACAAAGGTACAGTTCATAGAGTCATAGAATGGCTTGGGTTGGAAGAGACCTTAAAGATCATCCAGTTCCAACTCCCCTGCTGTGGGCAGGGACACCTTCCACTAGACCAGGTTGCTTCAAGCCCCATCCAGCCTGAGCTTGGACACTTCCAGGGATAGGGCATCCAAAATTGCCAATAAATAGTTTTATGATAAAATTTTATGATAAAGGACTGTTTCTCTTGGTCCCTTTGCAAGAGCAGTATGAGATTGTAAGAAATTCATCTAATATGCTAAGTTTTGATTATTCTTGATGTCAAGGACATGGATGATCAACTTTATGGTAAAAAGGCTATTTTTAGCCTGTTTGCTCCTCAGTTTCCCCCCTTGACAAAATGAAATCTTTGGAAGATTCTGCACATCTCAAGAATTCACTTTTGCAAAGCTAAATTGCCTAACAACTGTAAAATGTGCTGAGATGCTGCTGCAGAAGATGCCATGCCAAGGACACTGCAAAGTGATATTACAACTGTGAGGAAGATGAATGGGACCAGAAGAGTTTGGGTGACAGGTTATCTGCAAACAGAATGTGAGGCAGAAGGACATCTTCAGGGAGTAATTAAATTCTCTCTCTGGAAATTTTTATCTGCTGGGGATGTCAGCTGAATGCCTGTTCCACCCAACAACTTGAGTTGTTCAACTTGAAGGTCTGTATGATGATTTTTAAAACCTTTTTCACATCATTATTTCAGATAGAGATAGGATCTCATTAATGCTGTAGCAGGATGGGAATGAGCAGTTGGAATATGCCAGTGTAGGGCAATTCTGCCATTTTTGTGGCAAGCACAATACTGTGGTATCATTGATAATGTTTGTCACAATAATGTGATTTATTTATGTGTGAACCATAGTATCTGAAACCGGCTGTTGTGTGCCAGAGCAGCCATGGAAGACAACAATCCCAACCACAAAATGTCCTGACAGTGCTGCTCCTTGGGGATTAATGGGGAGAGCTACATTCTTGCATTTACTGTCAGGTTTTCACCATCATTCCAATGGTTCTGAAACAATTTTCCAAATTATCATAATGGTCTGGTGATAACACATTAGAAAAGGATTTTTTTCTCCTGCTATGACACATTTTTCTCCAGCTGTTGGAAACAATGTAAGGTTGAAGACGAACCTGGTGTGTCCTTCATTAAACACGTTTCAGCATTTAGCAGGGCATGAAATGCTCTCTGGTGCAATCAGGTGCAGAAAATGTTTCTTCTTATTTATATGAACTCACTAAAAATGTCTTTAGTGACATTTCACTTGCTGAGCTTAGTTTTCTTTGGAACATCCTGACTTTCTCATAGCAGGAATTTGTGGAACTGAACTTATTATCTGACACTGATCACTGTGGTGATAAACTCGGGAGAGAGGTAGATACCAGTCCCAAATATAAATATTGAATGACAATCTCCAGAAAAACATTTAGAGTATTACTTAAAAGTGAAAGACATAGTTTTGAATCCATTGATTGAAATATCCTGTATTACATAAAATTCAGAATGGATTTCATATTACTGAATATCTTTTCAATTTTTCATTTGTATAGATATTTTAAATCCCTCTCAAATTCTAAGAAAATTCTAAATTAACACCAGTATCAAAGATACTGGTTAGTAATTTCTTAAAGTTGTTGAAGAACCTAAGTTGCCAAAGTGTATCAGGGAATATTTTATGACTCAGATGTCTCTAGGGTAGACCATGCTACAAGAACTGGCATAGCACTCTGAGTTCCTCTGTAATAGAATCTCACTTGCTGACCTTCTGTAGATCTTATTATTTGAATCAATGTGATTTTTCAAAAGACAATACAATGCAACTATTGTTCAGAATTAGAATATTGCCTAGATAAGACACGTAGCCTTAAATTCAATGGCAATTTATTGTCTATGCCATTGTTTTGTTTTCATCTGCTCGGATTTTTTAAGGCAGGCCTCTCCCAGAAATGTTGATGCATATAAAGGAAGTACATAAAACTCACATTTTGCAAAGCCAAGTGTGACATCCTCATGCTACTCAGAAATCTGAAATTTCTGAAGATGCTGATTGGTCTCAGGAAGAGTAATATAGAAAGATCTATGGTGATAAATATTTGCCATGTTGCCACACACACCACTCAAAGGTGGTGAAGTAACAAAAGGCCAGGTGCATGGTCAGGGATTAGACTGGACTGGGCTAAATGGACACACACCTTGTCCCAGTCTTTCACCTGAGGATATGACTGCAAAGGAAAGTTTGGAATTCAATTTAAAACTGTCCTTCCTCAGAGCTGAAATCTGATTCAAATCCCACACTGTTAAAGGTCAAGATACTGTTAATAAGTGATACTGATCTGTGATGCACATGGCACAAAAATCACTAAAAATCATAGTTAGATTTAACTGTATGACTTTTCAGAAACCACAAAATCAAGTCACTGCATTACATTTATGAATGCCAGACAATTCTGTTTCAAATCCAGCCTGTTTGGTGAAGTTGATGTCTTGTATTTCTGTGGTACCAAGTTGGTTTTTCTCAGTCTTTGTATGATTTATGATCCCATTTTCCCTTACTCCTAACCAGTATTTTCATATTTAACTATCCTTATCCTAATGCCTCAATAGATGTGCAGGGCTTAATCAGAGAACACAAAATATTTGATTCAAGTGATGAATTCTGTTTCTGAAAGTCTGTTTTTAATGCACACCATTTCAGTGGACCACATCTTTTAGGAACCAGAATACTATTTATATCCTTATTTTTGTGGGTTGTGAGACCCACAGAGACCATTATTATAATGTATAATGTGTTTTTAAAAGTACAGAATAGGTGGAGAAGCCATTGGAGGTGAGACTCACCTCAACCTCCTTTAGGTAGGTACGATGCAAATTTCACTTCTTCTGAAGGGGCTTCTCTTGCAGCCAGCAGAGTGCCCCTGCCCTGCGTGTCTGCCCCAGGCTGTCTCGGCAGGAGGAACGGGAGGATCAGCCCCAGCCTTCATGCTGGACATCAACACCTCGGTGCCTGCTGGAGAAACGCCACAGCTGGGATGGAGAAAGGTGACAGAGGTGCTACCTGGAGTCGGGCAAGTCGGAAATCATAAACTCGTACGAGGGACAGTGCCAACTGCCCTAAAGTGACTGGGAGAGTCCGGGCTAGAGCAGTCCCTTCCCCAGCTGTAAATCCCCACATTTTTTCACATCTACCTTGACACTTTGGCTCCGACAGGGCCAAATCCCCCTGGCTCTGCCTCAGTCTCGAGCCCTGGCCCAGAGAGTGCCACTGGCGCTGGGGACATCGCGGCTCCTGCCCGTGCCGCCGGTGCGGTGGGAGGGAGAGCGGGGCTCCCGGCGGCAGCCCCGGTGGCTCGGTGGGGTGGCGGCGGCGGGCCCGGGGCCCGGATCCGTCCGTGCCCGCGGGGTGTCCCCGGGGCCGCGCTGGGATGCGGGACCGGCCCGCGCCCGGCGCCGAGCGCTCGCCGCCGCCGTGAGCGCCGCGGAACATGTTCCTGGCAGGCGAGACCAGGGGAGATGCAGTGAGGCGCGGGGCACTTTTCCAACAGCTCCTCCGCCGGGAGAGCCAGTGGCACGGCGCGGCGCCGCAGCCCGCCGCTCTCCCCGGCTCCCTGGAGGAGAGGCAGCCCGGGCGCCATGCAGCGAGGCAGGGTAAGGGGCTGCGGGCCGGGGGCTGCGGGCGGTGGCGGGCGGGCGGGCGCGGTCCCCGCTGTCCCCATCCCCGCTGACGGCGGCGTCCTTGCAGGTGCGGGCGCCGGCGGCGCTGCTGGCGCTGCTCTGCGCGGCGCTGCTCCCGCTCCGCCCGGAGGCCGCCAGGGCGCCCAAGCAGCGGCCGGCGCGGGCGCGGAGCTGCGGCGAGCGGCCCGAGGAGCTGCTGGAGCAGCTGTACGGGCGGCTGGCGGCGGGCATGCTCAGCGCCTTCCACCACACCCTGCAGCCCGAGCCGCCCGGCCGCCAGCACAACGCCAGCTGCCCCGCGGGGACACGGCCGCCCGCCGACAAGAGGGTCCGGCTCCCCGTGAACCTGCGCAGCGCATCGCCCTGGGCATACAGGTGACTCCGGGCGCCGGGGGAAGGGAGGTCCGGCCGCCTCGGGGGCCCGGGGGCTGAAGGGAGCCGGGGCGGGGTCCCCGCGCGGGACCGGGAGCGCACGGCTCCGCCGGCTTTGCCGGGGCGGCTCGGGAGGAGAGGGGCGGCCGCGGCTCCGGGCAGCAGCCGGGAAAGGCGCTGAAACACACGTCGAAGTAGGCGATAGAAGGTAATTATGTAAAAACAGCTTGTGTGAGGGCACAAGCTATGTCTAATGGGCAAAAAGAGAAATGAATGAGGTGGAGCAAGCCGTGAGATGGAGATCACACCCACATCCACACCCACCCGGGAGCACTGACCACCCTCAAAAAGTCACTTGGGCAAATTGTCACACGTGACAATCAATCAGTGGACCCTCAGCAAAGGACCACCACCACCAAAGAAACACCTCTTGACTGTGCAGCAACCACAAAGGGGCTCAAATGCTTTCCCAAAAATGTGACTACAGACACTGCTGTTTCAAAAATACTTCAGGATACAGTCTGTGTTCCAGTCACCCACCAACAGAGCCATATCCTCACCCACCAAACAGTCCCAAGGGCTCCATGTCCCCTTTGCTGTAGGACCATAGGCAAGGTTTGAGTACAGCAGTATTCTACACCTGTGCTTTCAACCTGTGCTTTGCAAACCTCCTTTCTCTCAGGTGGAAACAGGGACTGGCAGACTATTTTTAGGGGGCATAAAAACAATGAAGTAAAGTTAATTTGTTGTGAGGCAGGTTAATACACAAAACAAGGGCCTGCACTTCTATTGGAAGTCTGGAAAAGCTTGGAAACCACTGACCTAGTACACTAAACCCAGTGTGTGATCACATTCTCAGAAGACTATGAAGTCTTCTGGTGGTTTGAATAAGACTGAGTTCTGTTTACAGCTTTCTGTAAAGGACTGCAGACAACAGGGAGCTAAAACCTGCAAATTTAAAAGGAACTGACTTTCTTGCTACTTTTTATACATTATCCCTGGTATACACTTTGATGCAGTTCCTGTGTATTCAGCAAACAGTTATCTCCTTGTTGGGCTCTCCAATAAATATTTATTTTATGGCACGGGTTTTGCTTGCTTTTAGTGTAAGAAGTAATCCTACTGAGAGAAAGATGGTTTATTTGCTCAGTAAGCCTTTCATAAGCAAAGTATTTCTAGCAATACATTTTCTCTAAGAAAACTGAGGATTTTTAAGCTACCTAAGAGTGCACAAAGCGAGCAAAACACCTACCATTGGGCTCAGGTATTTTTTACAGTGGTTTTGCAAAATACTAGTGCTATCAGAAAATTCTTCCTCTGGTTTGAAAACAGTGCCTTTGTCCTTATGTCTCGTTGGGCAGGTATTTATTTTCAGTTGGAGCTCTGTATAGGCTTACTTTTTAACAGAGAAGCAGCTGCTTTTTGGGGCTTGGCTTGCAAAAGTAAATCCATTGTACTTTTCATCCAAGTGTTTTCAGACAGACCACTAACCATTCACATACAAGTAACTTGATGACATCTCCAAGCTAGGAATTTTAAAAGATAGCTGGGAAGAAGTATTACACCATTAAAAGCAAAATCTAAAATCCTATTCAGAGGGAAAAATGTTTCTCTAGGGTAAAGAAGCTGAGCACTCTGTCTAATTAACAGATCTCATTTACAGCTTTATTTTTGTGACTGCATTTTTACTGTATCATTGGCATGCAATGAGACAGCAACAGATACCTCAGGATGTGTAATTAAAGTGTAAAATATAAGACTGCTAAAGTGCATTAGCTATTACCACCTGCTATCTCATAGATTTTGAAGCTAGATACGAATATTTGTTTTGTTCTGTGGTCTTCAGCTGGATACCCTGTAAGCTCCTTAATCCTATTAGAGTTACTCCATATATTTGAGAGGGACACACAGCTCTCCATTAAAGACTGCAAGTAATGTTCCATTTGGCTTTGTCAATGGTTAACCAATTTCATTTATATAATCCCATCAATTTCTTCTCCATGGCTGGAGTGTTAATCTGAAGAGCTGCACACAGCTCTCTTCCTTACAGCACTTTCTCGACAAGCTTACTTGCATTTAATTCTTTTCCCTCATAAATTGCTCCCCTTCACAGATTCATTGCTGTCTCCTGAACTGCCTTCTGAATCACCAAAGTTGTTCTAGTGGTGAGTGCTCATAAATAAATCCACTGTAGGCAGACCCCTCTTGTATGCCCTGATAGGAAACTGCTCAAAGGCTGAATTTGACTACTTGAAATTTGCATCAAGGTGGCTGCCCCATTCCAGTGTCTCACACACATCCTGCTCTTTTCTGCACCTAAAGACTTACAGTGCAGTTCATTCCTGCTCTGTCCATAAAGGCTCTTTTTTCTTTTTGACATGCATTTTAATGCCTGAGATACCTCATGCTGTTTCTCTGTCTTCACTGGCGTTGCAGCATTTCCCATTGTTACCATCTGCAGATTTCATTAACATACTGTTTATACTGCCTATTCCAGGTCATTAATAATAAAGATATTAAGTCTGGCTCTACTTACCTTCTCCTGAATATCTCCCCAGGCACCTGCTCCCAGCTGTTTAATGCTGCTGCTTGTAATTCTTCTGTTCACATGACTGTTCAGTCCAAGTCAACTGGAATTTTTTCATATCAGCATTTATGAGAAAGAATCAAATATATTACTTAGAGAACTGTGTATAATGTTGACTCTACTGCATCATCTGTATCCCAAGCCTGTCATTCTGTTTAAGTGTGGAAGAATTAGGTTCGACTGGGTCAAAGCTCAGATAATCCTTGTGTGGCTTCTTTGCTTATCTTTGTTCTGTGCTTACTGTTTATTTTCCTTTACTTGGTCTTTTAATTTGGTTACACAAAAATCAAGACTTGCATCACTTTTGGCTTGCTGCAAACCAGAGATGCAGGAGTTGTACATGGACTGCACCTCAAATCCATCTGGCCCCTGACCCTGATGCTAGCAGGGTATACCAACAGGTAGTATTTAAGGCAAAAGTTATGGAGAAAATACTTGTTCATGTGTCTGATACTGAAATTCCATCCTGGTGGCCACAGGAGATCAGTATATAACTCAGGCACAGAGTTGAATCACGTGAATCACTCTTTGCTCTGCAGAGCTATAAAGAGACAGCAGAGTTCCCTGAAGTCAGTTGAGCACGCTGGATTTGCTCAGCAGTTCAGGAAGCTGGGCTACAAATTACCCAGCTTTTTAAAAAAGTAGAGCTACAGCAGGAGTTCTGCCCTGAAATCATCTGGCTGACTGTGTGCCAGATTGTGACATCTATCCAGGGGTTGCTTGTCCATTTAGCAGTATTACATGGACAGTCAATGAAATCCAGGGAGCCCGCTCGTACAAGGAGATCCCGGCATCGGCCACCTGGCTACTGCTGTGGGTCAGAGCTGCTTGACAACAATTAATGGAAGGGGTGGGCCTGCAGACCCTGCTGACAGCACAGGATGCTGCCCTTGTTCACATTTACAGAAGCCACAATCACGGTGAATCATTAGCAGGGCAAGCACAGCTCCACAGACGCACAGAAAAGTTGCTCATGGACAAGAGCCATTACAAAAAGGATTAATTTTAAATGTCTGCCTAAACTTTTGTGGGGGTCTGATCATAAAGCTCAGAGCAAACCTTGAAAAATCTGATCCTGCTGAAGTCAGCAGCACTTTTACAGGTAGTGCTAATTTGTGATTCCATTCATGGTGCTGCAGAGCACAGATGATATTCATTAACCAGCTGTATATATAAGCTCTATTTTTATTTTCTGATGTCTTAAGGCTACAATAACAATCATAACTAATTTGCAAACACACTTCTACGTGAGTTTAGCAAAATTTCTCTATGTGTATTCAAGAAGTCATCCATGTTTCTGAATTTCCAAATTCTGTGGCTTTTGTTTCTGCCTTTGGGGCCTAATCCTGCATCTACTAATGGTTAATTTACAAAGATTTAACTTTTATTGCCAGTGTTGCTCTGATGATGTTAGCCAAGTTAGCCAGTCCCTCTTCCAAACATTGCACAGCTTGTTTTTTTCTGTTTTGCAAAAATCAGTTTCAGTTTATAAGCATCCTTGGTTTAGTGCTCATTTACATAAATTCTTAATACAAGTAATACAGGCAAGTCATTTTTCACTGGTAAAAGCCAAGCTTGTCTGCAGTGTGTTTGAACAAAGTCATACAGGAGGGCTTCCCTTCAAATAATACTCCAGTCATTTTCTAGAAGTTTACCCAAGGCATTTTCCAGGATTTAACATTACCATATGGCACGGTGTGCCGGTCCCAAAGATGCAGCCAAGGGAAAGAATACAAGGGGATGCAGAGCTGCCATTCTTTTTGAGCTGAGCACATTTGTACAAGTCTTCAGAAAATCAGTTAGCATTGGGCTATTTCTACAGTAGTAATACCTATGTTGCTGCCTGAATATAAAATAAAGCATTACATGAACAAAAGAACACCTGCTATAGGGAAATAAATGTCTTGGCAAGGGGGGAAAAAAGCTGTTAGCTCTTAATCCTCTAAGTATTTCAGAGTGTGAAGGAAGGGGATGATGATCTGCTTATTGGACTTTTGATAACATCCAGCTGTTAGCCCAGTGCTAACAGTGATTTTTTGAAGAGTCGGCTCCTTGCCCCAGCACAGCATCTCACCCTGTGGAATCAGAAGCTTGGAAATTACGAAGTGACAATATTATTAAAAATACTACATGTAAAAGTAGCAGTACAGGAGAAGGCAGATTAAGTCTCTGCAAGAGTTTTACTTCTGACAGCAAGTCTTCTCTTGAGTTTCCAGGCTTAGTACATAAATGGCAGGAAGTTTGTTTTTCACTGGGAGCTCTCAAAGCGCTCGTAGGGTCAGAAGGAAAAGCAGCCGAGTCACACTTCATTAGCAGCTCCAGCTCAGCACAAACCTGCTGCTTGTTCCAGCAGATGGAACAGAGCAGCCCAGCACAGCTCCCTGCTCCTGTCACTTGGGAACAGCAGTGCTGGCAGGGCAGACTCAGCCTTCAGTGGTGACCTGAGTTCACAGGACACAGGCAATCCTCATCAAAGTGTCTGTGCTGGCTGGTTTGCAGCAGTGCCACAGCAAGTGACACAAGGCTGCAGGGGACGCTTCAGTACCAGGGGAAAGTTGCACTTCTCTGGGTCCCCACCACTCTTCCCAGCTCCATCCATCTCTTGGATGTAAAGAAAGACATAGCAGGAACTTGGAGCATGCAGTTTTACCTGATTAATTAATCCAATAGAAAATGTTTGCCCTCTTCCAGGAGATGTTAAAACATGACTTGAGGAGGTTGGTGTTTCTTAGTGGCTCTGACCCAAGCAGGTCTGGGTTGCCTAGAAAGACACAAATGAGGCTTTATTTATATGGCTTTTCTGCACAGGTTTGAGCTGAAGATGCAGAACCTTGTACATGGCTCCAAATTTTAGTGACATTTGAGTTCAGGTATTAATTTCAGGAGACATTACTTACAGGCTTCAGCCTTGAAGTTCTGGTCTGGATGCAAAACCACATCTATATTTTAAATTCATCATTAAGTTTGGATTCTCTCTGATTTGTTCCAGTCCTCACATGATGTATTAACATCGAACTTAGTAATGTAAGAGATTTTTTCCCTTGGAAAGTAGAAAATCATGCCACAACCACACCATCTTTCAAAAAACCCACCCCATTAATACGTGACTTTTTCCACATGGGAATCAGGAGGAGAAAGGTGGTTGTAGGCCATGATTCCAGTGACAGTGTTCTCCTGCTGTCAGTGAAACCTCCTGTGTTTGCATGCAGAAGCATGTTCATGCTTTCAGAAACATCATAAACCAGGTGCTAGAGATAATACAGTAGAGGAAATACCAATAACTTGACACATGGTGTGTTTAACAATCCACCACTGAAATTACTCACACTTGAGTTTGAAATGGGAATGTATCACAGTAGAAAGGCCTGTGTTCCCCTGCTCCCCTTTCTTCCCTTCTGCTGGCTACCAGACGTTTTATTTCACACTGGTGTGAGATCCTGTAACATGAAGGTATTTCCTGGGAAAATAAGCAAGTATAAATGGGAAAGAGAAGCACTGCAAAAAATATCTGCAACATCATAGATGTCATAGGTGTCTGGCTATTAGGGAACTGGTCAGATTTTTTTTTTTTTTGGTGACAAAAACAAAATCTTAAAATTGTGTGTGTGTATATATAAATTAAAAAAAAAAATCTATTTTCCTTGATGACAGGATAATAAAGTTTGTGTTTGGCAAAAGCTGTGATTCCAGATTTCCTTTAACCAGATAAACTGGCAATACTTCTGAAAAGGGCAGCTCCCTCTGTCCCTGCCTAAGCTGCCTGTTCACTCTGGCTTGTTGGTGAGAGCTCTGTGTACATTTGTGGCAGGACAGCTGACAGACCAAACCCCAGGTTCTGATGGAGTTACTCCTCAGCTGAATGAGTTCCTTGATCAATCCTGTGACCAGAAAAACACCAGTGTCAACCCAGGGGTGGGTGTGAGAGGGAGAGCCAGGCTGCCTGTTCTCACAAAGACAGATTTTGTTGACTAGCAATGACTGCAGTCACAGCCTGAGGCAGACCTAGGGTTCTGCCTCTTCCAAACCTGAAACCTTTTCTCATCTCAGAGACAGCCTGAAGAGATAAAAGGTGAACACTTTGATACCTGAGGAAGTGCTGCCAACCCTGGGAAACACAATTTAGAAATTGCTTTAAATCTATTAAGATTTAAGATCACTTTAAGATCTATTAAGAGATACCACCTGGAGAACTGCATCCAGCTCTGGGATCACACACAAGAAGGACGTGGACCTGTGAGAATGAGTCCACAGAAGGCCATGAAAACACTCCAAGGGATGGAGAACCTCTCCTATAAAGACAGGCTGAATCTTCCAGTATCTAAAAGAGCCCTGCAAGAGAACTGGAGAAGGACTCTTCACAAGGGCATGGAGTGACAGGACAAGGAATAATGGCATTAAATTGGAAGACAGCAGGTTTAGATCAGATACTGGGAAGAATTAAGAAGTGAGGGTGGTGAGACACTGCCCAGAGAAGCTGTGGGTGCCTCATCCCAGGAAGTTTATCTCAGTGTGGGCATGAAAATGTTGCTCTTCTGTGGTTAGAGGAAGATACAGTAGGCATGAACTAGAAAAGCAATACAGAATTCTGCTTTCAAGGGGAACGCACATTTATGACCCCAAATATACTAGGGAGAAAAACCTATTGCAGAAATAATAGTGCAATTCAATTTTATTTAAATTACTAAATTTTAAAACATCATGTCATGGCTTTAACAATAATAATGTTAACGAGGATTTGTACCAGTTTTTGAGGAACTCAAGGCAGATAAAAAGTTTAGAAATGCCCAAGTGTCCTTTTTAATGCTCTGTTTACCCATTTGGTCCAAAATGCAAAACTCATTCTGTTTAAACCCTTCAATTTCACAGTTCAGAAAGCCAGACACTTCCATGTGCACTGTAGGACCTAATCAGGTCTGTAACCTGTTCATGATTTTTTCTTTACATACACCTTACAAATTAGAAGCCAGACAGCAACAGCTACAGCTATTTTTCCTGGCGAAGACAAAAACCCCACGATATAATCATTATAATGCTATAATAATTATAATAACGTGTAAGACGATATAATTCCAGATGAATATATATGTTGTAGAGGTACTAATGAATCTTTATCTGCTTCCCTCTAGGATCTCCTATGATCCCACGAGATACCCCAAGTACATTCCCGAAGCCTACTGCCTGTGCAAAGGCTGCCTGATGGGGCTCTTTGGCGAGGAGAGCCTGCAGTTCCGCAGCACGCCGGTGTTCATGCCCGCCGTCATCCTGCGCCGCACGCCCGCCTGCGCCGGCGGCCGCTACGTCTACACCGAGGATTACATCACCATCCCCGTGGGCTGCACCTGCGTCCCCGAGCAGGAAAAGGAGGCAGAGAGCCTCAATTCCAGCATCGATAAGCAAGAAGTGAAGTTGCTGGTGGGCCAGAACAAGCCCTCATCGGAATGAAGAATGGATTAAAAGTCATGTTTCAGTACTGGCCTCGCATCATCACCTCACCACCTCAGGAAGCTGCACGGCAGCAGCAAACACGCTCACTCACCCTCTTTTCTGCTTAGTTATTTCGGACATAAGATGGAAAGTCCAGTCACTCAGATCATTAGAGATGGCAATTAATTCTATTTCTTTAGCTCATGTAAACTTGTTTAGTTCATTATTGCAAACTCCAAGTAGCTTTTTTTTCCCTTAGAGAAGAACAGAATTTTATCTTTGCTTATTCACAGCAAATGTTAGAAGATGATGTAACTGTAAGACATGGTGGCTATTACTATAGCAGGCTACTGGTTGTAGATATTTTTGAGGAATCCCTTATATTCTTTTAAGTACACTTGTATAAAAATCACACAGCTGCCCTACATGTGACAAATCAGCAGTTAAAAGGATAATTTCTCCAGCTGGGAGAGCCTCCCTTTATACTGCATAAGCTCCAAGCTTTGCCTCTGAGCTGTTACCTCTTTGGCTAATTTATACACTACAGCAAGGAAACCTTTGCTGAGTTGGAGTCATTCATGAAGCAATATTCTATGTGCTTGCTATTTTTAAACTTGCCAAATTGCTAAGGGTACAAAGGTGTTGAGAAAAAATATGCTAGAATACTGTAAAAATGCAGCAGATTTTCTTTATGTGGACTATGTCTAATTACAAAGAAAATATCAATTAGGAAAAACACAGTTTGTGTCCCAAGAATTCTGTATTTGACTTCATCCATCACTGACTGCTTAACTTCCTTGTGATAAAACTGTGTTCCATGCAGCTGCAAGGCCAAAACCTTTCTCATTTTAGGAGAGGAGATTCCCCATTAAAAAGTAAGTACCAAGGATCAGCTTTGCCTCAGGTGTGCTGCAGGTGAGTAAGCAGGCTAGGTCTTAACTTCCAGATCCTACAAGAGGTCATTGAGTTGAGTCCCAGCCAATCCAAAGTTGTTAAATCCAACTGATTTTTACAATTACTCTTACTCATTTCTCCTTATGCTACATGTAACAGATGATCACCACCTGCAAAAGCTGACCAGGCAGCCTTCCATCTGTGCAGCCTACTGCTGATGGAACTTGATGGCAGGCTCTCACCAGAAACCCTGCATACACAAAAACTTGCATTGCCAGAATAAGAGACTGAAGTTGACTCAGCCTAATGAATGAGAATCAGGAATGACCAGGCATGCCTTGCACAAATGTAATTCCTCAGAGGGCCACACTCACCAAAACAGATAAACCTCTGAATGCACAGCAGAGAATCTCTTTTACAGATGAAGGATCATGACTGCAATATCTTTACAGAATGAACATCATATGCAGCAATGTGTCTGCTACATCATGAATCTTGAAATTTGCCTTAATTCATAGCAGAGAAAGCCCCTACACTACATAAACACACTCTTCTTTGGAGTGTTGTTGGATGAAGAATGGAAAGACTATGAGCTAATCACAATTAACAAGTTGAAGACAAAATGAAAGTCATAGGACAACTCCATCATTATTGATTGGGCTCTGTCTGACTCAGTCTAGAGATATAACAGTATTTTTATAGCGCAATCTGTGAAACCTCTTACGAAGCCTAAAATAACTTTAAGAACTCCAGAAACAAATAAAGATTCCCATCAGAATGCCAGATTGAAGGTTCTAGCTGTGTTTTTTGTGCAGATGCTTTTCCTCAGTTTTCCTCGTCTTTAGATCTGTGTTTCCTCCAATTGTGATGCTTCTATCTCAAGGGGATTGTCAAAGGGATTCTGAGTTCAGAGATGCTCATAAAATGTTTATACTACTCAGAGAACAGCTAATTGCCTGGCTGCTGCCAGCAATTATAGGTAGTTACCTTTTCCCCAGAGAATGAAAATACTTGCAGCAGTTACAACCTCTTTTCCTTCCTTCTAATGTGGGGGAACTTCTCACCCTCTGAGCAGAGGGAAATGGTAATCAGAGGGGCTCAAAAGGGAGGCTGACCCACAAAACTGTAGAAACACTACTCTAGGTGATGTCTCAGTAGCCTGATCCCTTCCAGCTTCACCATTAGATTGTGAGGTTTTCTCCATATGAACACTTAAGGCAGCGTGAAGTTGAACCTTCAGACTCCACGGCATAGAAAGCAAAGTCTTCACCCTAACAGGCAATAAAATGACCCCAAACAACAGCAAAATGTCCAGCCATGCAGCACTTAATATTTAGTAGATACCCAGAGGGGCTACCAGCTAAGTCTGGCCAAACACTGCCCTCCAGCAGAACTCATTTTCTGCACTTTTGTTATACAAATTTGTCTGCAACAAATTAGTTATTAGAGAACATGGATATATATTTGCATTATGTGGAGAAAAAAAAAATCTCTTTTTTTTTATTGCAACTCTCTTGTCCTCCAGACATAAATTATGGAGTCATTTTGAGGTTTTCAAGTAACTAGAGCATGTTCGGGGAATTCCTGAGAGGTGCAAGCTAAAATCAGGTAAATGGAACATAATCCGTTTCTCCACTCCAGAAAAGTAGATGCTTTAGCTTATAGACAGCTTCAGAAAGTGGATGATTGAAGGTACTTGAGAACTGCAAAACCTCCATGGATCAATAGAGGGCTTGTGTTGGTGACCTCCTTCTCATCACACTGCAGCAAGAGCAGCAAGCTTCCATGGTTCAGGCATCTTTATGCTATTCTGTTCAGAAGCACATTTTCCCTTCTTAATCCTCCGTTTTCTGTGTGACAGACTTTTTAGCTGAGCCAATTTGCTTCCTGCTTCAGCTTTCCAGTTAGGTGTTTCTTAAAAGCTGTTTATGTTTCAGCATAAGCAACTGTTTGATATTTTGTTAGTGAGCAACTGTTTGTTAATACTTAACATCAAGAGCTATTAGCTACACAAACACTTGCTGGCCTTCAAAATATCCTTCTACATATCCTTTCTCTCCACATTACTCATGTGGGAAAGGTTGAGTGTTAAATGTAGTTTGCATTTGTTTGGAATTGTTTTTTTTTAATAAGGTCATCACATCATGGATTTATATCAGTTTCATTTCAAATGTGGTGTGCCATTTTCCAGCTTCCAGCCCTCTGGTTACAGCTGCCACAGCCTTGCCTTTAATTTGCATGGGGGAGGGAGTGTTCATTGGAGTTGCTTCAAGGCTTCACAAACTGTTGACAGAAGGAAGACATGAAATGCCTCACTGAACCAACTCCAGGCCAAATAAATGCAAACAATTCAAAGCTAGAACTATCTGGCAGCTGCAGCTGATTTGAGAAATTTTTTTGTTGTGCCAGGAAAATCTTTTCCTTCAACAAGGTTGTCCCTGGAATACATTAGGAGCCACAAAACACAGAACAATATCCTTGGTAATGAGATTATTTTCTTGTCTGTAGTATCGCTTAAGGTAGTTTGGAAAATTCCTATCATTCAGGAAGGCTGAGGAAAGCCTGAGATGCTAGTTTGGGTTTACTTGCCAGTCATCACCTGAAGGTGTCTGTCTGAACGGGTGAAGATCTACAGCTACACATAAACATGGAATTGCGTGGGGGAACATGAACATGAAAGCAGCAGGAAAAAAAGGGAAAAAGGCTGTGATGTGCTCAGGAAGTATAAACACCCATTAATCCTGCTGGCATGAGGGAACAGCCATAACTGCCTGGGCTAGGGTAGTTAAAGAGGCTGTAGCACATAAGACTGTGCAGTCATAAATGCCACTGGAAAAGGAGCACGGTGCTGACACTTCACCACAGTCTGTTCCAACAGGAAATCCATCCATGAGACACCCCCAGTAGTCAGTCACTACTTGACACTGACATTTTTATTCACAATCCTGTTACAGAAGAAAAGAGGGTTTTGCTGTCACGTACTATTTCTTAAAGTTACCATACCGGCACAAAACACAAATTCACTATGGATTTTTGTGACTTGTACCCTTCTCAGAAACAGCTACTTCCTTGGAATCAAGTAAGAAAAAAATAGTTTACCTCCCACCACTGATGAAGGCTGTAAATGCCACTAGTCAAGCTCTGCTTGGGCAGCTGCCTGCAGTCCCCAGGCTTTTAAGAGGGAGGCTGGTGGACAACGGGCTGCTCTGTTGAGTGCATCTGCACAGATTTCCACGCACCCTCAGTTCCGTAACCGTGCATCTTCACAGTGCCCCTTTTCAAGCAGTCTGACCTACATGTGAGAAGCAGCAGTGATTTTCTTGGAAGTGAACTTCTTGGTACCACTGAATGGTGCACTTTTATCTTTTTAAGAAATATCTCTGATGAAGTTAGTGAAGCTGACTTTTAACTCTGCTACGGAGAGCCCAATAATACACATTTACCAAAATGAAGCAAATAAAACAGCAAAATATGTGAGGTTTCAATTTGAACAGCACATTCTAATTTAGGGTGGCAGGGGAACAGTATAATTCCTTCTGGCAATCATACCAGTCCCACTTGAAGCCTCTATGCAGTTAAAAACAAAGTTTCATGAGTTACTTCATTATCTCCATCTGCTGGGTGTGCAAGACACTGAGGTAATGAACCAGTTTAAAGTACAGGTTAGTGCCAAGAGCTATGCAGTTACCACTCTGGTTTGCTTTATTTTCAAACTGGCCACATGGAAGTGATGATGTAGCCTCCCAGAAAACAACTAAACCCAGGTGTATTTCACCTGTGGACAGCCATTTTCAGGGGAATTCTGGCTCAGCAGCAAGGATGGCATCTGCTTTGAAAGGCAAGGCTGTATGGGCCCTGGCTCACACAGCAGAAAGGAGAGGCCCGTGCCTGTTCTCCCTGCGAGCATTTCCCTCCTGCACTTCCCCTGTTCTAACAACACCTGTGCCCAGCCTGACAGAAACCAAGGCATGTGCAAGAGGGAGAAAAGTGTTACCATGGAGCCCAGGAACACTGCATGCAGGGAAGAAGCAGCAGGTATAAAATGTGAGGAGGGAAAAGCCTTAGGAAGCAAACAGATCTCTTGGAAAATGGGGAGGAGAACTAGAGTGGATTGGGTGGGTGTTTAGGAACCACTTTTGTGTTCAGCTCAGACAACATCATTCTCTGAGCACTGAGAGAGGATTAGAATCCATCTACATTATTCCTGCTCAGCTGTTTACTCCACCAGATGGGAAATTCTGCATCCAAACAGCAGAAACATGAGTATTATCACTGCCTTATAAAAAGTCTCATCTCACAAGCTTAATTAGGCTTATTCCCACCACAAATAAATTTAGTACTTGATTTTATATGATTTGTCTTGTAGATGCAGCATTTCTGTTAACTTTTATATGGTATGACATACAAAGACAAGTGCTTGTGTTTTGTAGAGTGTTTTTAGAGATTATAAAAGTGTTGAGTGCTTTGAAATTTATGAACTAATCTCCACCCAAAAATACTTCAGTAGTGTAGTCAAAAGGCTAGTCAAAAGTGGCTTCAAAATTCCCAGTTATCAAAAATATCTACTTATGCAAAGCAAAGCCTTTCCAATGTATTACCTATTTTGACTGAAATACAAACCAAACCTTGAATATAAAATCTAACATTTTTCCATTTGAAACAGTGGGAGTTTATCAATATATTATTCCTCAGTGGCCTTGTAAGATTCAATGAATTTTAAGATGCTTCTATTCTACCGCTCTGCTGCTGTCTGTGGAACAGGAGAAAAAGATAAAATCAGGCAACTGGGGAAAAAAATCGTAACCATTCTTGTAACTTGACATACCTGCACATCCTCTTTAGTTTGATACTGAAATTATTAAAAGCAGGCATTATATTTAATCAGAGCCATTATGATTCAAGATTTAAAGGACATGTGTAGGTCACACTACTACAGAAGTATCACATTCTTTGGCAATGACGGTTCTGATGCCTGCAAGGCAAACACCTATGTGTTGTTATAAGCTAAATTCACTTCAAAGAGGTCACTGACGTGTTCTCATATAGTAAAAGCTACCAGTTAAAATTAAAGTCTAACAAAGAAGTTCCCATTATCCAGCACCTGCATTGCTTGGTCTGCATTTACCTAGTACAAAACACAGTAACTGCAAATGCTTACTCATTTAAAAGAGAGAGGCTATCATACTGTGTTGATTCCAGCTATGCCAGAGAACAGTACTCAGAGCTGACTATGTCAGCCCTCAGAAATGGGCATAACTGACAGCAAACAGAAAGAAGCTTGACTGACAAAGCTGTAGATTTGTAGATGATCTTAGGAGAATGAGTCCAGTCCAGAAGCATAGTTCACATAGCATCGAAATTCATTGGCTAAATTTCGTGAGTGTTTTGGAATAAACTTGCACATCTTCACACCAAGATGCTTTGCTGCCTGTTCCTCCATGACTGCACCTGCAGCAAAAATAATTGGTATTCAATAAGAAAAAACAGTAACAGAATGTTTGAACTTTTTTGATAGCTCCTCCCAAATGCATACTGAGACAGCCTGGTGTTTTTTAAGGAAGGCAGGCTTAAAGCAACTACACTCTCAGCCTTCCTTAACAACAGAATCTGTTGGGAAACTTAAAGTAAATCTAGAAGAATGGAAGACATCCCAAAGAAATGAATGTCCAAGAAATTTAATACAAATAAGTAGAAGGTATCAGTGCCATTTTTACAGAAACCAAACTTGAACTCAGTCTTCTTGCTACATTCCAAGGAAGTGAAATGGTAGGGAGCCGTGGGAAATGCAAACAGATTACATCTACTCTTTCACTTATATAAACCATGAAGTGACATTTGCAGCTACACACTGAGAAATCACTGCTTTGAGCAGTAAACTGAAGGACCACCTATCCATTCTAGGGAAAAACATCTGAGAACCACCCTTGTGTGTGACTGCCATGTGCACTTAAACCAAGGAGCAGGCTTTCTATGGCCACATTATTTTAATTTTCTTTCTTTTGCCTGCTTGGTTGCCTTCCCTCAAATTGTACATACAGAGGGGTTTTGACCTTTGCTTTTTGGAAAGGTTTCCTGGATGTCTTCAGATAACAATACAGTTTAAGAAAAGCCATGACTTGGGCAGACACACATCACTTCTCAAACAGCAAGTGCACCTTCCTAAAGAAGGACCCACAAGTACAGATATCTAGTTAGCTGGTTTCTGCCTTTATCACTGCTTTTTAATTCCTCCTGCTGTATTTCAGTGCCTAAGACATAAACAGTAAGTTGCACCTATGTTTGCCATTCCCAGACTTCAATCACTGCAATTATAGAGAGTGGCCCTTCTACAAGAAAAATTATATTTCTGGAATTTTCCTGGATGATCTTATAATTCTTCAAAAATTTAGTAAAATTCATAATGCTATAGGAAAAAAGTACTGACTTGAACTATTGAAACCCACTTCTGTTTAAAATAAAGGTTGAACTCAAGTACTCAAATAAAAGGCTTAGAACACATATTCCTCCTTAAATTGATGATAATTCAGCATTATTGAGTTACATTTGTCTCATGTAAGTTTGTCATTAGAAAGAGAGAAAAAAGCTACTTAAGGGGACCTAATATTTTTATTAGTTATACCTGTGCAAAGCAGAATCTTTCCTTTTGTCAGGTATTTGATGGTCTCTGCAGTCTTTTGAAGACATTCCTCAGACAGATAGGGTGGATCTGCTATTACGATGTCAAAACTGTGTGGCAGGAGATTTTCAGGTAAGTCCAAAGGGTGGTTGTAATCATAGAAGATAAACTCTTCTCCATACACAGAAAACCTTCTGTCATACTCCAGTATACACACAGAAAAATCCTCACCATCCTGTTCTTTCAGTTTCTGGTACACACTCGGTGCACTAACACATGCTATCCTGAAAAAACACACAATAACTTAAAATTGTAATTTTAACAGGCAAACAACAGCAACAAAACTCTACAGTCTTCTCAGCAGTCTTCAGAGAGGCTTTGGGAAAACATTTTAAACATTAGTACCTAAAATATAAAGTATTGTTCCTCCATTCTAACAATTAATTATCATAGTAACAAAGTTTTAATCATGAAAGTCATTACCTGTTCAACCCCATGCTACATAAAGATCTTAAGCTAAACTACAGAGAAAGTCTTGTTTCAGAAAAGCAAGGAAGTACACTCAAAAATGAAAAATTACTGTTTATAGAAGTAGGAAGAAAACCAAGTTTTTTCCATCTGTTCTACAGAAACATAATATAAAAACTAATTATAAGTCAATAGTGTGCTCTGAAGCACTTTGTATTTCTCAAAAAATTACAAAGATTCATAGTAAACTTTCACAAGGCACAGTCTACAACATTCAATGAAATGACAAGAGAAAGATCAGTATAAACTATTAACTAAATAACATCAAAGCAGTTCTGCAGTATCTCAGCTGAACAAAACTGAAGTACAATGAGTAATGAACTAAACTGCATGCTCTTGTCAACATAGCAGAAACAAAATATTTGCAGAGGAGACATGTTAAATCTTCAACACAATCATTAAACCTACCTGCCACCTTTTCCAGCTGCCAGAACTGCTTCCTTGGCCAGGCATGATGCAGTTTCATCACTGTACCAAAACTGGCTCAGTTGCTGAGGAAGATAATGCACAATTATAAACAACATCAAATCTTCTGGCTGTGCTAGGCAGAGTTATATGTGGTGAGTCATAACTCAAGAAATCCACAATCCACAGCAACTTCTCAGTTCACAACCTGTAAAGCTGGAAAGGTGGCTGTTTTCCTGACAGTCTTCCTACTTCTGTCATTTAGTGATATGCAGCAGGTACCTTACACTCTCTGTTTCCAAAACATGAACTGCAGTATCAGGAAAACCAAGAAATCCAAACCACTGACCGGGTATTTCAAAGCCAATGTGCAGATGCACATTATTTATGTGCTCTGAAATTGAGTTCCTTCAGCAGACGAGCAAAAAGGCCCTTGAAAAGTGACAGCATGGGAAGAAAGAAAAGGATAAGAAAACTAAATCAGAATGATCAGAAAAAGGAAGACCAAAAAAGCCCAACCCAGAGACAAATCAGAAATCAGTCTGTCACAAATAAAAAGAAGCAGCAAAACAGCCATCCATAAAAATAAAGAAATAAAACACACACACAAAAAAAAGTGAAAGGAAAGATCACTTGGTCTTGTTACACTACGTTTGTCTCAGACTCAGGGAAGAGTCTTTACTACTGTCACGTGCCAGGCTGGAGTTAAAATTTCCAGAAGGGACAGATGCTTCTGTTAGCAGCTTTATTCCCTCTCCATGTACTTTCAGTTTGTACCCCCCATGCACATGTGGAGCAAACAACTACATCCAGATTTAATACTAAAGCAAATCTCCCTACAGTGTTGCCATCCATGAATAGCAACATCTTGAGTGTTCCCCTCTTTAATTTCATTTCATTATCCAGCCACAAAAGAAACTTGGTCAGGGCTACTCCTCTCTCTGTGCTTCACTCACTGAAATTTATAGTTTCTTACCCAGTCTTCTTCTATTGAGCCAATGGAATATTGATTAAACCCTTGGGAGGTCTTCATGCCCTCTCTCTGCTGCTGTTCCAAATAGAACTCCTGGAGGGCAGCCAATGTATGGGATGAAAGCTGGGGAATGTCATCATCATCGTCCATTTTCTTAGATGTCAACAAGAAAAAAGAAATTAATTGAATTAACCCATTTCAATTGTGAATGTTTTTACAAACAGCATAATCTTATGAGGTTAAACAACTTCCAACAAGAATGCAGCTAATTAGGAAAACTAAAGAAAACTTATTCCTTCTACTTAAGCGCTCTTAAATCAGTGAGAGGCCAATTGGAAATAACAAGTCTCCACAGAGAATTCAGGAAGAGCAGCAACACTGTTCCCTTTCTATACAACATGGATTTGGCTTATGTTCTTACAGGGAAGTTGACATTAGAGCTTTTGGTTTCCTGTGGATCTGGAAAATCCTATAGAAATTATTCCCTTCCTTCCTAGAAATAATGATAGCTATTGGTCATTCCTTCCCATGTTCAAAAGCCACATAATTTTGACTCCAAATGAAGTAAACTAGCACTCTAGCTCAGCATGACCTGTTTTTAACCTCCATGCCATAAAAAGATTCGTCTAAATGTCACAAACCTACAAGGTGAAAAAAAGAAAAAAAAAAAGAAAACAAAAAGGCAGCCAAGAAGCTCCAAGACACGGTATGTACCAAGGGAGAAGTACAGCCATCTCAGAAAGCTCCCGGAGCGGGTTCTGCCAGGCAGCATCCCCGAGCCCTCTGTCCCAGGCAGCACAGCCGCCTCTCCCCGGGAACGGCGCCACCGCGGGGAACGGAGGTGCCGGAAAGGACCCAGCACGTGAAAAGAACTGGGGAAAACGGAGAAAGATCTCATCTCAATAAACCTTTTCCCTGCATCCAGCCTAAGGATCAGCACACGAGCAACGCCTTTAACAGAGCCTGGAGATGCAGGCAGGGATACGCCTGCATTATGCAGAAGTCACCGAGAACTCACCTGAACAGTGAGTGAACATTTTATGCGATTTCAAGGGGAGCTGCTCACGGCTCTTCTCCTCATTCCCTGAATGACAAGCAGAGCTCCAGAACTGGCAGTCTCCTCCCCTTCCACCCTTCCTTCTGCTCTAACAGAGCTTTCAAGATGAAGTTTCCTCAAAACAGCTTCCTCCTGCTTGCTGGAAAAATGGTACCTTACCCTGGCACTGGGAGATAACTCTGCCATTCCTCTGACACAGTACACACCTAAGGAAAGCACTTATCTGCAAAACCTGCCTTTTCCAGAGAATCATTTATTGGCTTGCTGGATTCTCAGGCCAGGCTGGCCAAACAGGGAACTGCTCACAGCCCAAAGATCCCCCTATGGCATCAGCCTCACACAAGAGAATTCTGGACTCAAGCTACTTAGTAAAACCAAATTTTTTTCCCCCTAGTTCTTCATTAAACAAAACAGACTTAAGACTTTTAGACTTTAAGACTTAACAGGCTTTAAGACTATTTACATTATTAAATTATGTATTATTTAAAGTATTTATTACAGAAATGACGGTAGGTATGTCCAGACAGATAACACAGTTTCTAGCCACAATGCTCTAACAATACACAACATTATGACCCATTTTAGGTCCTATACCACAATTTATTTTTGTTAGGACATCATAGAAATTTATAATCACTCCTTAACTCACAACAGTTTTTTAATTAACTGAATGATACATACAGTAATTTGGTCTGCTATTACCCCCTAAGCAAGAACACAACCATACTTTAAGAAACTGAAACAGGTTGAAAGCTTCATTTTTTAAATCAAAAGTTGAAATTTTTTGATTTTCTGTTCAGTGAGCCCATACTGGCATTTGCAAAGACTAAATCCATGCCCATGAATCGAAACCCTCACAGATGAAGTTGCTGCTGAAGAATTTGCCATTGTTTCAGAACATAAAAAGGCATACTGCCATAGACATCTTTTATCTATTAATAATTTTTAGTTGATTTTTTTAAACTCCTCCTTTTGGTTTGTAAATTAAAAGCCTTAGGAACCAAGAAGAAGTAATTAACCGTGAGGTGTTGCAAGGAGAGTAACTCAGAACATATGGTAGAAATATTACATACAGCTATTATAAATGCCTCCAAAATTCAATATATTTTTCTGAATGTATATACTGACTTGGGTTATTAGCATGAAGACATTCTCATGCTTAAGAACTACATCAGAAAACCCCTCAAGTGAGTTTATGTGTACAAGACTTGGAAATTCCTTCAAGGGAGACAATTCTACTGTTTGACATCCCTTCATTATCTCTTCCATTAAGTTCACTGCTCTCAAGCCCAGAAGCAACCGTGAAAGTTCCATGGGAGGATGGGAAGAAGCACAGAGGCCCAGAGTGCCTCTGGCACTTAGGGAATCTTTACACTCTTAATTCCCAAGGCCCCTGAGGCTCCAGCTGAGCAATCCCTGCTTGCCCCAGGCCCTGGGTCCCTCCACACGCAGACCACGCTCTGTCCTCACAGAGATGCTCTCTGGAAGCCACGCAGGGGGAAATCAGATGTCCAAGAACAGCTCAAGAACACTGCATCAGGTTTGGAAAATAAGACTCATGGTGAAGTTAAAGGTCCCCTGAAGGAAAACACCAGAAAAGGAGGTAAGCTCCCTCAGATAGAGTGGAACAGGAACAGACAGGGTAAAATGGGAAATTCGTGTTCATAGGGTAAAATGGCAAATGTGAATGCTACTGGTCCCTAAAGGGCCAGATCTACCCACAAAACAGGAAAAATGAGAGATGAATTACAGCCTGTGGCCTGCAGTGCAGCAGGTGGGATGAAGGGGGTGGAGATCCCTGCAGACTCCTTAGTCCCTTCCCCTGTGCACAGCTCAGTCTCTCTCTTACTAGCTGATGCACTGTTCAGGCAAATGTCATCACTACAGAGTGAAAGCTCTCCAAAGAAAACAAAAATTAAATTAAGAGAGATAAGAGCAGCACAGGAGACTTCAAGGCCTTGTCCACACAAAAATGTTGTATGTATTTAACAATAGTTTCTGGTGGTCATGTATGAAAGCCTATTTTTATACAGCCAAATTCTGAAACAGAGAAGAAAAATACTCAAAAGAAGCAGTATGGAAAAATTAACAGTCTTTGGTCCTCAGTACATTCATTTCACCTGCAGTTATGACCACATGGAGGTGATAAGAAAACATTAGGAAAGACTGCTAAAAAGCTATGGAATAGAAATACATCTGGAAAGCCATGCTGTTCATCGCTGGGAAGGAGGAAGAAGAGGACAGTGTTAGATCTTTTACCAAGAATATAAAAAGCACATGTGCAACTTCAGAAAAGATCTTATTCTAAGAGTAACCTTGATCAAAAGACAGAGAGCATGAAATGGAGTTAAATCTAGTTGTCTGTGTTTTTTCCAAGCTGCCCAAGTCAGTCTTTGAGACAAGCAGTTCATCATGCACGGTGTTTGCAGCACACACCGAGAAATGCTGGCCAGTGGTGTGCAACCCTAATGAAAATCACCTGGCAGGGGCTGCAATCACCTGCCTGGAGGTAGAGAAGTCCTGATCTGATACACTGGAAAGCAACTAAATGTCTGGACGTGTGCCCTGATACCTCAAAAGCCAGAATTTCACAATGTGTCAGTCACACAGAAACTTCATAGAAGAGAAGCTCTCAGAAGATTATCAAATACGCAGAAAATACAACGGATTAACAATGCAAAGTCAGGAGGCCTGATGGCTACTTCAAGCAAAAGGAAATGATGATGCGTCCTACGGAGGACAGGCTCGGGATCACCAGTCCCTCCTACACGTGGCTGAGGGGACATGGACGGTTCCCGGAAAAGGCCCTTTCCAGCTGTCCCCTCCCCCGTGGATCGCTTCGAGGGCACTCTGCGGCCACACAGAATCCCCGTGGGGGGCAGGGGGTGACCCCAGCCAGCCCATCTGCGCCCCGGCTGCCATCGCCCGCAGGGTGCAGCGGGGTCAGGCGGTGAGGGGGCGGTGTTGGGTGGGTGAGGGGGCTCCGCGCCGCCCCCCTCACGGCGGTCCCGGGCGGGCACGCGCGGGGCCTCCCGGCCACGCTCCCGCCCCGCGCGCGGCCCTCGCGCCACTCACCGCCCGCCGGCTCCCTCCGCGCGCGCGCAGCTCGCCCCAGGCCCCGCCCCCCGCGCGTGCCGCGCCGGCCGGGGACCGCGCGCCCCCTGCTGGACACGCCGGGCTTGGCGGAGCTCCCGGGCCCGCCCCCTCCGGCCCCTGCCCCGAGCGCGCCGGGGAATGGCGTCTGTGCCGGGGTGTGGGACGGGAGAGGCACGGGACAGAGCTGGGGGCCCAGACAGCCTCCGGCACCGGCCTGGCAGACCCGGAGAGCATCCCTCGAGTCAGACGGCAAGTGTTCAGGAGCCGCCAGTTCTGCCCTGCACCGCAGCCCAGCGCCCCAAACTGGTTTTCTACAGCTGTGTCTCCTGTCAAGGCTTTCCATTTCTATTCAGCATTGGCAGGCTGGAACGAGCTCCCTTTCTTGCATACAAACGGAAGTCGAGCCGATTCATAGATGCTTTCAAAACACACTGAGTTTTAAAATACCTTCCTTGTTTAACTTCATAAAATTATAGAAGGGTTTGTGTTGCAAGGGACTTTAAAGACCATCTAGTTTCAACCCCATTGCCATGGGCAGGAACACCTTCCACTGTCCCAGGTTGCTTCAAGCCCCATCCAGCCTGGCTTTGAACTCTTCCAGGGATGATCCACAGCTTCTCTGGGCAACCTGTTCCAGTGCCTCACCACTGTCACAGGAAAGAATTTCTTTCTAATATCTCATCTAAACATACTTCCTATCAGTTTGAAGTCATTCCCCCTTGTCCTGTCACTGTACACCCATGTAAAAAGTTTCTCTCAATCGTTTTTGGTAGGCTCCCTAGAGGTACTGAAAGACCACAGTTAGGTCACTCCAAATCCTTCTCTTTTCCAGGCTGAACAATCCCAATTCTCTTAACCTTCCCTCATGTGAGAGGTAGTCCCTGCCTCTAATCCCTGGTGTCCCTCCCTGGGACTTGCTCCGATGGGGCAATGTCCTCGTGCTGGGGACCCCAGAGCTGGAAGCAGTATTTCAGGTGGGGTCTCACTAAAGCAGAGGGGGAAAATTTAATCCACTATATCTTTCCCTTTGGTCATAAAAACTTCCCATTTTCCTGCTTCTCATGTGTAGGCACAACATGCTTATCTGGCATGTCTCATGATCTCACTGCCCCAAGACAAAAAGCTCACCCATTTTTCTCATTTCTTTATAAAGCTCGATGTTTGTAAAAGTCATGTGCATAGTGTTGTCTCTGTCACTCAATGACTCTCCTAGAATCCAACCCATAGGATGTTGCCCATCAGATTATTTAACCCAACAGCAGACTCTCCTCATGTTCTCCAGAGCCAGAATATCAGCAGTGAGCTGAGTAAGAAACTGCTGTTTTACCTACAGCCTGCTCAGTCTTCATCTGCCACAACATTTCACTGTGGCTGAACAGAAAGTCATGGGCTCAGCACTGGGCATTAATGAACAGAGCAGAACTACTGCTTTGGAAGACAGAAATACTAAATTAATGATAAAGTATTTTGCAGCACAGTTTACATAAGCAGCAGAGAATCAAATTTTCTTGTCACCACAGGATGTGGGAATTGGCCAATTTTTCCTTCAGATCCCCATATTTTTAACCTCCCAAACCTTGTGGGAACAAGGTTTTTCATGACAGTAGAGAACTGTGGGCATTTTCATCACTGAGCATTCAGTGCATTACCCACTTTGTCTTTGAAAGTTCTTGCCAAAAAGAGTCTTCATCCTAGCACAGGAGACTGTCTCATACGGTGGATATCCATATCTATTCATGCTACCAGCACTGCTGTAATTTAAAACAAACAAACCAACCCCTTTTCCCTGCATTGTGGAAAGTGACAAGTCTTGATATTGATACCTGTGTAGCATTACTGAGAGCAGCAAGAAATTGGTTTAGGTACTACAGTGAAGTAACACTTCAGTAATTGTCCTATTTCATGCATGTTTGTAAGGTATTTTACATGAAAAACATTCTGCACAGGGCTGATAATGAAAGTGGAAATGAGACAGGGATGACACACACTCTCAGTCCAGATTTCCCAGAGCAGCAGACTGCCCCTTGGCAAGCAATCCCTCCTCACCAGAAAGGTTAGACAGATCACATAAGGGCACATGGCTGTCTGGGGGCTTGGGGGTGGGCTGACAGGGTGACATTATTTAGGTTATGATATCAGATACTACTTGGCAGCAAGCACAGCCCTTGCTTGAATCCTGTTACAAGACAGTTCTAGAAGCAAAGCCCCAAAGGAGCTCAAGTGACCCTGTAGGAAGGAATAAAAACAGGTTATCTCTGGCTGCAATTTGGGATGTGAGGACAAATGAAACATAGACACAGGAATACCTGTAAAGTGCGTCTTGAAAGAAATTTCTTATTAATAACTGGGTTTTATTGCCCCCTAATATTTTTTGCAGATAGGTATTTCCAGTTAGGCTATCTCCCCTGTCCTTTCACTGACAGACCCATGTCACACAGCAGTGATACTGGTGTCCTTGAGACAAACCTGATGACATAGATCACTGCCTCTTCACTAATGCATTTGCTAGATCAGAAACAGTGTTTAAAAACAAAGTTCTAGCCTGGAAAGCAATAGCAACTTGTTACTCACAAGGCACTTCTGTTTTGGGGTTTGAGTTTTTATTTTTACTCTGTTGCATTTTTTCTCTACTAATGAAATTCCAGTTTTGTTCTCACTGTAGCACCACCCGCAGTCATATGAAAAAGTATAATCAGGTTTAATTAATATGAAAATAGATTATTAAATTCTACTTGTAGAATCTTTCCTGTTGCCATTAAGCCTAAAAAAACTTCTATTAACTTATTTACAAAAAAGCCCAAAAACCCCCACAAAAAAAACCCCTCAACATATTTAGGGCTGGCAAACCAACTGCACACTAATTTGGAAGGCAGCGAATGCTTTACAACCATACAAGGATAATTTCTAGTTATTAAAGATAATGGAAAACAGCAAAGTGAAAATATTCTACTTAGAAAACAACCTGCAACACCCCCTCTTTCTAAGCAAAGCTTGCTGCACATTTACTTTCACTCCCAAGCTGTTCCCCCTACAGATGGAGAAACAAATGTGTGTGGGGCCCCATGGGGTACCTGTGTGGGCCAGGTGCACCACAGCTTCCCAAGACCCTGTGGCACAATGGAAGGACAGACTGCCACTCAGCCTCTTCAAAGCTTGCAGTCACTCTATGAATTCAAGTACAGAAGTAAGCTTTAATATTTAAGTAGTTCATGGAGTCCCAACTCTTTCTCTATGGAGACAGAAATCTTAGAAACATGACAGTGATACAGGATCCCTGTGACTTCTTTCTATTTTGCCAGGCTTTGTGCATTCCTTGGAAGTAATTCAGGATCCACAGAGGGCCACAGCTTTCAGACAGAAAAATGCTCTACATAAGTGACCACTAGTCACTTAATACCACCTAGTGGTATTGGCATTTCAAACAGACTTTACAAGTATTTGAAAAAAGAAAACCCACCCAACCCTTCAACAGAATTACCAGTAACTATACTTCTGTACATTTTCACATCCCCACATATTTTACCAAGGCTTCTGATTTACACAGTTCTCTCTAAAAATGTCCTGAGATGCATCATAACATCCAACCATCATGGCATTGTTTGGCCCCGAAGCCTTGTCATGGTTGTTTTTGCTTTCCCCCCGCAAAGATGTAATCACTCTGCCATGACAAGAAGCAGGAAGGAAAATATATAAAATATATTTAGCAAAACCAGTAAAATTAAAGTGGAACAGAAAATGCAGTCAAGTAGCAAACATGTACAGCAGCAGCTTTTACAGTTTTCCCCTACACATACCTCTGCACTTATTTCACACACGCTCTTTAAGGAGAAGGAAGAAAATAGAAATCAGATAGTGTTACGAAAGAAAACATTTCTTTTCCTGAACGGTAAATGGGGTTTATTACTGCTTTCTGCTTTTGAAACTCCAATTCAGACTATATATATACCTCTAAGAAAAATAAGAGAAGGACACCCTTTTCTCTGTCCCTAAAGCAAAATTACACTGTCCTCCTTTTACAGACTATACTGGTATCTTAAATAGTTACACTCGCAGGATTTAGACATTATCTGGCCATCTTAAGAGATGCAGGTAACAAACATTTTAACCAAGATACAAAACAGGTATCCAATTTTTCCAGCTTTCCTGAGGCTGAGTGAATTGTTTAAATACATGTGCGCTTATCAAAATCCATGTTTACAGTACATTTTAACAGTAGTTTGTTAAGAAATCATGAAAGTGCATAACAGCCTAAAAGCAGGCAAAAAGTACTTCAGAAGAACAGTCTTTCCTTAAAGTGGCAGAAGAATATAAGCCTTCCCCAAAGTAGTGTTGATCTTGTGAGGACATCAGTGATCTTCCTAGAGATTCCACAGTGTGGTGGTGGGCTTTTGGCTTTGGGGTTTGTTTTTTTTTGTGAGTTACAACAATCATTTCAATGAACAAAAGACCACTAGTAGTATTGGTGCAGTTCCAAAACCAAAGCAAATGTCCTGACAGCTTATTAAACCAAGTTACCAGTGAAGCTTTCAAATCAATACTTGTGTGGGAGTCTAGCAATGACTTTCATTCAGGGAACACCGAACACAGAGATAGGAAGCAGTTTGAATATGCCACAAACCTAAACGCAGCATCCAAAACAGTAACTTAAAGCAAATCAAACATATTTGTCTTTACAACCATTAACAGTAGGCCAGACAGAGAGAGGAAGAAAAAGGGAAGTACATCACACCCACAGCTTCGCTTTACTCTAACTTGTAAAGGCAACAGCGTGTCAGGAAAATCAAATCCGATACCATCTAATAGATGTTAAAGTGAAAACAGCTGTTCCACAAGATTCAAATATAGGCAGCAGAAAAACTAGTAATGAATTATGTATCCGTCACAGTGGGTAGCTTCTTTGTTCTCTTTGGATATATAGATTTGTCTGGAATGTTTTCCAAAATAAAGAGGAATTTATTATTTATTTAACAAAACTTACAAGGATAGTATCACATTTCATTTCAGAATTCCAAAA